AAATCACAAACTAAGCTTGAAAAGGAGATGAAATTGAACTAGCCAGGCAATTTCATCAGAAAGATTGGAGAAGAGAAACTTGACAATACTGCGATTTTTTTTTTAAGAAGTAGACAATACTGTGATTTGAGTTGCACAAAAGAAAAAGGGAGGAACATTCAGTGTTGAGGTGATATCAGCTTCCTCTGGTAGTAAAAAGAGCAGAAGAATCCCAAGTTAATTGAACCTTAGATGAACATGGGAGCCACCGCTGAAAAAGGTGGACGAGTATAAAAACGAGTTAAGAACGAACACAAATTGAGCTCAGGAACAATAATCTCAAGCACATTAAGCATAAAATGAAGTAATGAGAAAATGGTAAATAATGGCATCAAATCTTGACTTTTCTGATCAACTTGCAATCAAACTGGATAGAATTTGAAGTCAAAGATGTGTCCTCAATGCTCTTTGACTCGAATATGGAACTTATGGCAAAAGGCCCAAATGTGGATAGGAACGTAGTCATGGACGTTAGGACTAGGGAATTGTTTGGCAAGAGTTGAACAAAGTTCAGACCATCAACATAAATAAACGAATGCAATTAAGGTCGTAAAGAAAAGTTCTTATATGGGTACAGGAAAACACAAGAAAACAGGGAATACGCAGGAAAATAAACAGGGCACAAGTTGGTAATATATAGAAGATGATAAAATCAAACACACAAGCCTAAAGGTTGAGAGGACCACGCAAGTTACAGCAGCAACCTGGATAATGGGATGAAACCGGTACTGTCTTATGATTCTGTAAGAAAAACATACCCACAAACTCTCAAACATGTATAAGCATTCCTGGTGATGGTGGAGATAACAATCTTTAATGGTGGGGACTTGACAAAGCAACCGCATAATTCCATCTATGGTAAAAGAAAAAAGAAAAAAGAAAAAAAGAAGAAAAAGAAAACTACAGAGGGTCCTCTATTGAAAGTCATACAAAGAGGAATAAGATAATGACACATATCTCAGTTAGAAAATCCAGAAGAGACATCTGCCCCAACAAAAACTAGAAGTTAGATGCTTATCAACCGCAACTTTAAGATTTATACTAAGCGACACGTGTCCATATATGACTTCCTATAAAGGACACTACAGGAAAATTTCCCCTTCTTCTGTGTATATCCCTATCAAATCTGCTAGTGCGACAATTCCCAAAAAAAGGATTGTTAAGTTTTATCACTTCCTATCTGCATTAGTCTTATTCATAACACACAATTTATGAACTGCTAAAAGCAAGGATGTCTCAAATTTTATAAAATTATTCCAATTTGCATAACTAATCTATACCTGGAGTACTTACAGATTAGTCTCAAATTTATGAACTGCTAAAAGCAAGTATGTCTCAAATTTTATGAAATTATTCAAATTTGGTTAACTAATCTATACCTGGAGTAGTTGGATGGAGTGTAATATAGCATATCATGGTATTGCTCTCCAACTCCTTCACCAGCAGGTAACACATAAATCCCAAATCAGTGCAGCACAGATCTTCCACTTGAAGGTGCCACCCAGAATGAAAACAATGGTCCCTGAAAGAAAAAAAGTTTATTGTTTCCAACCTCGAAGATGAAGAACAACCTGTAGATAACCATTCATCAATCCTTGAGAAAGAAGGCACATATCTGTGGACTGAATAAAAACATGTAAAGCAAAAAACTGAAAGGAACTTCAGGCTTTTAGAATCAAGCAAAATCATTCCATAACTTGTAACATTATTGTTCAAATTACATTTATGCTCTGGATATGATCATGGTAATAACCATATGAAGCAGTTGCTCTTGGATTTTCTATGAGATCCAAGGACATCCTAATAAACAAGGCAGCTGAATCGAACTTTGTTAATTCATCAGTGTCTCCTCAGTGTTTCCCTCTTAAATTTTCAAGTTTCAACAAAACTTACTGCTTGGTTGTACATGAGATAACTATAAGCTTGATCAACAATATGTAAGATATGATCACACACTTTTAGTAGTTTGAGAAGCTCATGATGTTTGAGCTTTAAGAATTATATTAAGTTCAATCGTGATAAAATTATCAGCTAAACAAGTATGCCACCACAACAAAAGAAGCAGAAGTGATTGGTCTAATCATACCTTGACAGAATCTAGCTTCATTCTTCTAATTAGTTGAAGACTTGATAATGATGAACATATCCTTGAACTTGACTTGATGGAAGACTCAAAGAAAACGTTCTTCTCGATGATCACTGTGCAAATAGAAATTCTTAAACCATCAAATAGGAGTCACTTGATTATGTATTTTAGGTCTTTTATGGGAGAAATACAAGCTCATTAGCTACTTCTTTCCCCCAAGTCATAATATACCGAAAATTTCATCCATTAGATAAATTCAAGCAACTCACGAGATCGTTCCTCACCTGTGTCATAAAATTGGTTCTTTTGGGAATAGGACCCGTTATTACTCCAAGGACTGGATGAGTCGGGTTCAGCTAGTGGTGATTCTGGTAACCCATATAAAAATGGGTTGGAGTCTTAACATATTCTCACTTGCTCAAAATGAGGCACATAATTCAACAGGGTTCATCGCTCAATGCTCAAGCTACTGATCATATAAGTCATGCATGCTACTCCATGTTTTAACCATCAAGATAACTTGTATGCTGCGAGCTACTCATAAAGCATTCGCAATGCCTAATCTAGTGTCTCCACTTGCCAAGCACATCATACATGCTAAATGAACTGTATACATATTTAAATTACAACATATTATTATATAAGTGGGTCATCTATATCAAACACAGAGATTTGAGTATGATATCCAATGAGATATCCAATGCTCTCACCTTGCTATGTTGCTTACACATTCGTATGTTGCACATGGTTGCAGTTCTTAATCATCTCAAACAACACATTATGAAAACTCGGAACTCACAAACATCAAAAGTCGATTTGTTTGTAAGAGAGCCCATGTATGACAAGGTTGACATATTTACTAAAATATACTGTTCATCAAACAAAAAACATTAACTCAAGGTAAACTAGAAATGAGAACAAGAAATAATCTCACAAGTGTCAACTAAAAGAATATAAATCATATACAGTTATGAATAAACATAAAATGATCAAATGTACCATTAGAATACAATTTATGTCACCACCTATGCAGATCTGAAGTCCTAAAATGTGCCCTAAACAACATAACTGCAATGACTTTGTCACTTATCAGATTATTTCACTGCCAGACTCTCTTGCTGATTGTAGCCTCAAATTATATACAGTTATGAATAAACATAAAATGATCAAATGAACCATTAGAATACAATTTATGTCACCACCTATGCAGATCTAAAGTCCTAAAATGTGCCCTAAACAACATAAGTGCAATGATTTTGTCACTTTTCCTATAGAATGTGCCCTAATTCTGATTCATATAGAATCAATGTTCTGTCTCTTTCTCTTTTCCTCTCACGCTACCTGACTCGACTTCTGAGGCGACATCGTCACCATCGCTGCCAACTCGCAGCCTCTTCATCACGACCACCGATGAGCCTCTTCAGTGTTCATCACCATCCACCTCATCATCGTTGCCATATGGAACCTCTCCGAGCAAAAATGTCACTGAAACCCTAACGTCCCTCTTCCAACTATCAACCTATCAATCAGAACCTCCATCTCCTACTTTGGAGACACCCGCAGAGGAGGTATTAACCGAAACCCTAATTTTGATTCTATGCATTCAACAAGCAAAAAGTTCCTAACTTTTCAGTTGAAATCTAGCAAAACCCTAAATCTTTGGATGTTGCTTGTTAATAAAGACTTAATTCAGGGATTTTATGGCAAAAAGGTCCATGTTCTTGATTAATAACAAAGCTAATTAACAGCAAACAGAACTTGTACCACATAGGAAGAACTTAATGTTACAACTGGTAATTGACCTTATACATACATTTATTTATGAGGATTCAATAATTGTTCTAAAATAGTGTCACTTTGTGCTCAATACTTTCAGTGTTCTTCTTTCGGATGTCAAAATGTTTCTGGAGACTTATTCCTTCTTGTAGGCTAGAAATCTCAAGTAGTCGAATCATTCTCTTGATGCTTTGAATCTGAATTGTCAAATCTGAATTCTCTTTATTTCTTCATCTTGATTATTGATCTCTTTTCCAAAATCCTTTCATGACAGTGCCTATATACTATTAATAGAGCAAAAGAAAATATAGTAAATTCAGCATGAATAATTTTTTTTATAACATTTAAATGCATCATACCCAAGTCAAAATTGAACAAACCGAACTGAACTGCACCAACCCGACTAGGATCAGTTCGGTTCTGTTTTGAATAACAGGCAATTCGCTTCAGTTTGTCAATGTTTGATCAAAAACCAAACCGACCGACTGTTTGCACAGCCCTGTTTATACATCTTCCTAACAATTTCAAGAATCTATTGCTTACTTGCTCCAACATAGACACCGTAGCTCATCTCTAGACATTAATGCCAACAATCAATCGACAATATATGTGTGAGTTGGGAGAAAAAAGAATCGCAAAAATGTTTGGCGGAACCTGAAAAAATGTGACTTTAAATGACGATAATAATAATTATCATCATAATGATGTACTGGAAATAAAATGCTAAAAATAATTATACAACTTTGACATAATACTTAGAGGTGATATCATGGATGAAACCTGCATTGCTTTTCTAAAGGAAGGTAACTAGCCTAAGTTGCATGGATATGAGTGCCGGTGCCTGACACGCCAAATTAGTAAAATATAGGGTAACTAGACATGGCTGAAATGCATGCTAGATACGCAAATGACCCTTTGAAATCGTAGTTCTGAACCGAATATATGCTGAAACAAACCCAACCCTCGTCCAAAAGTTCCAAAAAGTGGATGTGAAGAGTAAGATATATATCCAAGAAATTATGGCGAGTGTTATAAATTAAAACATACATTGAAAATTTGAGTACACATCTAAAGATATGTATTGCATAAATTCAAGGAGTGTCCAAGAAGTATCAGTATCAGTAGGCTTCATGTTAGATGTACCCACACAACATAGTTACTAGGCAAGGGAAGGTTACTTTTCAACGTACATATCAGTACATAACAGTACGCCAATTAGTAAGTTAATGTTTCTCAACTTATATGTTGAGCAGAAAATTCTCAATTATGATGCACAAGCAAATTATTTATCAGAGAAGCTCTTTTATAATTATTTCGTGAAGAAACATCAAACCAAGCACAGTTTCTCGTAGGCACATTCACACTGGGGAAAAAAGAACGCCTACTGATGGCCTCCGTCTCTTGCAAAATCTTCAGCGGCAGAAGCACCGCAGAAGCTGCCTCACTCAAACCCATCGTCTCTAGCTCTTTCATAAAACCATCAACATCAGTCGCACTAATTCTGTATGGAGTGTGATTTGGTCCAGGAAATGATTTGCTTTCCACTTCATGTTTGTACTCGGAGAGAGCCTTGTTGATGACATCACCTACATGCCCAAATTGCTTACAGAATTTGGGTGTGACCTGATGAATAACAGACAATCTATAAGTCAACTATTCTACCATGTACAGAGATGATAACAGATGAGTAACAAAGAGAATAAAGGTTCAGTTACCTTGGCATGATGAGGATGCTGCAGCATTCCCAACAAGTCATGGTAAACAAGCACCTGAATTGAAAATACATAAGTCGGTCACAACTGGATATGCGAGCATGTTTATGAAATCTGCTTGAGGAAATATAGCGTTACAGAACATATAACGAATGTCATCAATATATATATTATATATATATATATATATATATATATATATATATAGAAATGGAGAACCTTGCGTACCAGTTGCCTTAAAGTAAGCTTGTAATGATATGGCCTAATCTTACCTCATCACACCTCGAAGATAGGAGTCTTAAGCCACCCTTGACACCAACCTAATATAAGATGTAGGAAACAAGATTAGGCCACATCACACAAGTGCTTGAAGCAACTTGGTACCATGTTTCTCCATTTCTCTTCTCTCTCTCTCTCTCTCTCCTCTCTCTCGCTCTCTTATAATATATATATATTATGATATATATAGATATACTATATATATATAAATATAATATATATATTATATATATTATATAGTTATAGTAAAAGGAAATTGTGTATAGAGTTAAAGGTGCACATTTTTGCTAAATTGAGCTACAGCTCTACGGACACGTGAGCCCGCAGTCAATCAGTTAGCTGGCCAGTGTCTATGAGCTAGTTAGCTCATTTTGCTTAATATGAGCTAACCAGCTCGATACCTAGTATCCCTTATATATATATATATATATATATATTTGGGAAATAGGATTCTAAGGAGGCCACCTTAAGATTGATCTAGATGCCCTTCAAAATTGAATCATATTGCGATCAATTTACTCAATCTCAGTCCTTCATTCTTGACCTATTATGATCGAATGCATATATTATACTATATATATATATATTTATATATATATAATATATTAATATACGTTATATATTAATATATAATATTGGGAATTAGATTCTAAGAGGAGCCACTAATGAATCTAAGGATGCACCCCTGTCAAAGAATTAGTATCATACGCGCAATCAATTTACTCAACTCCATCCATTCATTTTGACCTATATGATTCGGAGATCATATATATCTATACTATTGATGTGGAAATAGGATTCTAAGCGCCACCTTAGGATTGAATGCTAAGCTGATGCACTCTTCAAATTAGATCATACGCAATGCAATTTACTCAATCCACTCCATTCATTTTGACCTATATGATTCGGATGTTCATATAACCAAAAAATTAGGCATATTTGCGTTATATTTATTAATGCATCAAGTGATAGTCAATTAACGGCTTTATGATAACACAGCTAAAGATACAAGTAAAAATTGGGTAGAAATATTCAAACATCATGATTTTTATTTGTAGATGTTTTAAGACATTTAGATCATGATGAATGGAGTGGACTCGTCTTATTGAAATAGCTCCATCCATTACATTGAGAGGTCATCCTTGGATTCATCTAAGGTAGCTACTCAGAATCATATTTCCTATATATATAATATATATATATATATATATATATATATATATATATATATATATATTATATATATATATATATAATATATTATGAAGAAAAATAATGCATAAAGGTAAGTAGAGGTTATTATATATATCTATATTATATATAATATATATATATTATATATATATATATTATAATATATATATATATATAGTATATATATTATATAGTATATATATATTAAATATATATATTATATATATATATATATATATATATATATATATATATGAGGAAAAATAATGCATAAAGGTAAGTAGAGGTATTGTATATATATTATATATATATATATATATAATATATATATATATATATATATTGAGGAAAATACTGCATAAAGGTAAGTAGAGGTATTAAACAGAGAGTGACAAATAAAACAAAACTCCTTATTACAAAAATTTAAACTAGAGGTTCTGATAAGAAAACATGTTTCAGTTAGATAAATAAACAAGTTTCAGTTAATAACTCAGAGAGCATTTAAGAAAGTGGAACACAAAATTCTGGTCCTTGGCAAGTCTCAAGATTCACAATGTGGATAGTGAACTCAATGATTCCAACACGAAGTTAGCAAGTCTATTCTTGATATAAATAGCAACCCGTGTAGCGCAAACTAATGTCACGTGCCACTTGTATTGCTACACTTAAAGGGATTCCAAATAGAAAGCTATATTAAAAAAGCTACAGTTCACTTTCCCTCTAGACGATCCTAAATCCATAAGCATGGCTTTTCTAACACATGAATTTGGAGTGCGCCTCCCAGTACTAGTATTCAGAACACAGTATAATTTACAATCTTCAAATGGTTGTCCTTCATATATCCAATGTAAATTGTGATGCAGAATACGATACATACCCTAAACAATGGTGTCAGAGGATAGAGGAAAAAAGGGAAAATTGCAAAATAGACCGTTTTTATAAAGTAATTAGCGAAATAGACCACTTTTGAGAGTAAATTAGCAAAATAGACCTCTTTTTGAAAAAAGAGGTCGATTTGAAAAATGACTTCAGAAAACATACGGGACTACTAGTCCGTATGTTTAAAGCTAACTAATCTAATGATTAGTGTATAATCATTAGATTAGTTGCTTAACATACGGGACTAGTAGTCCGTATGTTTTCTGAAGCCATTTTTTCCAAAATCGACTCTCTTTTTGTCTATTGGCCAAAAAGAGGTCTATTTTGTAATTACTTTAAAAGTGGTCTATTCTTCGCTAATTCTTTTTATAAAAACGGTCTATTTTGCAAATTTTCCAGGAAAAAAAATTATAAGATGACATGAACACCTAGAACTATTCACAGAAGACAGCTAGAAGGCATACAAGTAACGAGAACAAAGCTCAGTTGAAGCAAATGATTGTCTGACTCAATTTAATATTCAGCACATAAAATTACAGAGTAAAATCAAAATATACAAGAAATTAGGAAAGGTAACTAAGGCACAATGGTCTATAGTTGTGATAGCCAGATTAAACATTTGAGAAGCCCGGGACATGATCAAAGTTTCAAACTTTATGTAGGAATTTCGTTCATGTAGTTTCAATTACTCGTAACTCTTTAAGAACCATCATATTTTCCTCGCCATTCTAATTACACCATAGTGTTCAAAAATTTTCTACTTAGTGTTTTAAAAATCAGCCCTACTTATTGACTATATCAGCTGATATATAGGGTTTTGGACCACTGCGCGATATGATTTCTAGAAATTATATAGTTATCAATTTTCACACATTTCCTCTTCAATATATCGTGAAAATCCGATTAATTGTGCTGTATTTTTATAGCTTCAAAATCGGCCCGATTTTGACAAAAAATCCTAACTACTGGTTAATTTGGTCCCTAAACTCTTATTCTTCAGACCCGTACCCGATTCCCACTCTGTTAAATAAAATCTTCATGCATCAAAATCTCATGCATCAATTTGATAAAATCTCATGTATCTGATAGCCGATATTTAAATCTTGATCCAACTTTCATTAATTTGTCAAATTCATCAATCTCATGCACCAAAATGTTCAAGTAAGATTCACTGAAAAACTTTCAAGTAAGAATACAAAACATCTTATAATAAACCAATTGAGATTTACTTGAAAATGAAATCAACCAGCACAAATAACAACTAACCTGCCCACTTGCAAAAGGCCAGCACCAATTCCAATGGTCGGAATTTGAAGGCCTTAGTGAGTTGCACTGCTACCGGAGCAGGCACACACTCCAACACAACCGAAAAGCACCCAGCTTCTTTGCATGCCATTGCAGTCTCCACACTCGAACATTATCCCTAACGACAATTTGCTCATCGAAAATGCCAAGGTAAATTTTTATAAATAACAAAAAAAAACTGACCTTAACAGCACTAGCAACTGTTCTCCCTTGAGGTCTAAACCCCCAAGGACACTAATAGCCTGCGAGTAAGGCAACATGCCCCATTACAGCAATCCCTGCGCTCAACAATAGCCTTGGCCGCTGTAATCCTTGACGGAGCTCCTCCTTCCAGCTTAATTGCATCCATTCCGCCTTCTTTCAAAACCTAACCGCCGTGTGTACCGCCTGCCTGCCCAAAAGCCATCAAAAACAATCCTCAAAAACTCACTCCCCAATTAAATATAGATAAGAAATTTCCCAATCACGAGGAAACTAGGCAACACCCAATTTAAAACAAACAAGATTGAACTTTTCCCCGGAAAGCACAGCAAGATGGACTTTAAGCCTAACCTGAGACGAGGAGCTCGTAGGAGCCAACGAGAGATCCCCAACGAGCAGAGGGGGGTAGCGCGCGGCAACGGCACGGCAGTGAACGAGCATTCTCGTCGAGGCGAGATGGGGAGAGTGGTGTCGTGGCGTGGACGACCATGGCGGCGGAGTCACCAACGAGGCAGATGTCGATGCCGGCGGCGTCGAGGTGGACGGCGGCGGGGTGTCGTAGGCGTGACCATGGGATGGGTTCGCCGTGCTTGTGTTTATTGTGAGGTGAGCCAGGTTCACGCGGGGAATTGGGGTTTTGGGCCGCCGTAAGACTGTGTTTTCTGAATGTGTCTCAAGAGACGACGAGCTATCCGCAGACATTTTTCCCCCCGTCCTCTGCTGATGCTGCTGTCGTCGGAGAGAAGTTGACAGTCGCTGGATCTTGCTGACAGGATTTTAAGGGATGGGTTTTAAGGGTGCTGACGGATTGCATTCAGGTGGCCCATAAGATCCACTTCGGCCCATTTTGTTATATTTTCTCATCAAAACATCATGCTGCTCAAGAAGAAGAAAAAGTACGTATTGTTTAGCTCGATTCAATGTATTTCACTTGGGAGGTTGAAGTGTTTATTGGACGTACAATTGTGCAGGCTTTTTAAAATCCTACTAGGTGGAATGCACGTACAATGCTCGAGTCAAATATTATAATTGATTGATTTTAGTTTATAGATTTACTATAACATAATGCAGCAAGTTTATGATTATCATAATATATTAAAGTTTCAGATATTTCAATATATAAAATCTTTTGGATTTCAACATTTTACCTTCCACAATAATTAGTGAGGTTTAAAGTCTTAAATATTAATGATCTAAGA